TTGCTTCTTCCTCCTCCTCAGTCCCAGACACCGTCTGATTGCTTTCCAAAATGAACACTTCTTCTTTTTGGGYGTCTCCTCAGACACTCTCAGTCTGCACAGGTTCTGGAGCAGGGAGAGCTTCAGAGAGGGACTCCTCCTGCTTCTCCTGCTGTTCCTCCCCCTCTTTCTCCTCTTGCTTCTCCTCCTCCTTTTCCTCCTGCCACTCCTGATGCTTGACATCCTCTCTCTCCTTCTGTGAGAGTTGAGAAGTCAGCTGCCATATTTCTTCATCCCCGTCGCAGTTGTTTTCTTGCCGGGGTTGCAGTTTGGCCAACTTTGCATTGGCCTCATCTAGCGCCTCGCAAAGAGTGAGTGTCCACTGTCGTTGTTGGCGACCGCGAGCCCTCTCCTTGTCCAACAGATGTTCAAGATATTTGACATCTCGTTGAAATAACCGGCAATCCGCGCAGTCGTAGTGAACTTTGACATGTTTGRTGGTTCCTCCGTGGTTGGCCATGACAATCAGTTTGATTCAGGAACAATCTTCGCTGTTTGTTGCTGGTTGAAGTCTTTTCCTACTCACAATGGTGAGCCACACGTTGACCAGTAGGAAATGATGTGAGTAAGAAGCTGCAGTCTCATGTGTATGTCATGTTCAACATTAAGGCCTTTTAAGCAAAGCCATCAAAGCCACCAGAGCCATCAGAGCCATCAAAACCATCAAAGACATATGTGTTGTGTGTAGGTGAGTTTAGGTGCTTGTGTGTGTGTGTGTGTGTGTGTATGTGTGTGAGTGTGTGTGTATGTGTGTGTGTGTGTGTGTGTGTGTGTGTGTGTGTGTGTGTGCAGGCCTGATGAATCAGAGTCTGGAGGCTGCTGGTTGATTGGCTGCCTCAGTCTGAGCTTCATCCAATCACAAAGCACCAGTGTGCGGCAAAAACTGGATCAGACCCGAAATAGTTTGGAGAATAAACGACTCCACACTGGAAATAAATGTCAGCTGGTGAAGAAGAGCCATATCTTCTGTTTGCATGTTTATCTCCCCCTTTCTTTCCTGTATTACAGAATCAGGAGCAGCCGTCAGACAGTTTCCTGGTGTGCCGGTGAAAAAGAGCTGCCAGAGACTCTTAAGCTTTGGCTGCACTTCAGGATTCCGGTCGCGATGGGACAACAGCTCGGCACAAACCTTCCACTGCGACGAGTCGAGGATGACAGTCTGTGATTTACCGTCAGGGGCGAGACGGAGGGTGGGTGGAGCAGCCAGTTGTAGAGCTGCTGATTATCTTCACCCCCCGCACCCCCCCTTCCACCAAACTTCCCTCGTCACACATTTCAAGCTGCCAAGAACCAACTCGTCCAAACAGAGGAGGGAAGCTGCTCAATGGATGATGCAAAGTTGTTCATGTTTTCTTTTTGAATACTTCACGTTGGCAGCACCTTTGGCGTGAGGCCGTCATCGCTCGGTGTCAGACTGAAGTGGGCGTTGTACCGTGACATCTTGTAAATCTCTTCGTCGGCTCTTTGCTGCTCGTTTGTTTCACACCGACAACGTTTCCCACCATTTCAACAACAGAGTGGAGGAGACGTGTGAGCGGAGCTGACCGGTAACAACTAGTGACTCAGCTTTGATCCACTCAGTGTCGGCTCGTTCTCTCCGGGATGAAAATCTAGCAATGTGTTTCATCTTCTCAGGGCGATAGATCAAGGCTACACCAGGTTCAGTGTGTAAGATTTAGTGACATCTAGTGGTGAAGCGTCATGTTGCGGCTACTGTTAAAAACATGGCTGCCTCCATTAAGAGGACCTGCTCCTGATATAAAAATAAAGTATTTAAATATAAAGTTTGTAAAAATAATTTATTTGTAGAATTTAGATAAAACAGCTGTGTGACTTTCAACAGTGAATTACACATCCCACCTGTAGGGGGAGCCTGCACTGTGTCACTCTAACATCCGTTCACTCTGTTAATATTCAGGACACTGTGCATTGAGCCGTTAGCTAATCAAGTTGATTAACACATTTGCATAATATCGTATTGTTTTCAGTCGCTGACACTCGTGTTACTGTGATTAATCATTTATTGTCTCAGTCGGGATTCACTTTGCTTTTAGAACCTAAAGCACCAGCTGAGAGAAGCTCTGTGTTTACATCCCCACCTTGGTGTGAAGTTTGGCGATTTGTTTCTCGTCCACGTTTGGCTGCCGGTAAACTCTGCTCTTGTAGCGGAACTGTTGAGAGAAAGACAATTATATTAAAGACAAAAAGGAAATAGCGCAACAACTCGTCCTGTAAAGCTTCCATTAAGTCTCAGTTCCAATAACAGTCGGGGTTAGAGACCTGATAACCTTTACCTCAGCTGTTTACTTTACACCTGGAGAGAAGATTGTTCCTGTGGAAACTAGATCAACGGAGACGCTTCTTCTTTATTAACAGCACAGTTCATTATTTCATGGCATCTGTACTGACACAACTGAAATGAGAATCATGTCTCTGTCTCTTTTGTTTTCAAGCAAAGGGATCAAATATTCTCCATAGGGTCATTTCCAGGCTGATTATTCAGTT